TGTGGGAGCGCCTGGAAGCACAGCCCCAGCAAGAAAAGGGGCTAGAAATAGAAAGCCAGAGGAAGAGAAAGGACGGGCGGCTGTGTGAGAGGCCTGGCTTCATTTCTCCACTCCTTCTTTCGCCGCGGTCGTGCTGCCGCCAGCCAAGATGCGCTCGCGGGCTGGGCCGGCATCCAGCATCTCTGCCCAGCATCGCTGGAGAGGGGAGGCTAGGGCAAGGGGGGCACAGCTGGGGGAGAAGAGCAACAGGGTCAATGGATATAGGAATCACTCCTGGAAATACAAATGGGATTTGTTGAGAAGGGGCTGTGCACCCCAATTTCCAGAAGACAGTACATTCCCTTGCTGGTGATTGATGGTTTGTAGGGACCAGAGTTACTTCCAAGGTGGCTGTCAGAGCAGTCTCCCCCTCCACAGCATGCTGAGCCATCCCCTTCCCTATGCACCAGCTTTTCAGGCTGGTTCCCAGCTCCCACAGCTCTGTGGGTGCTTGTGGAACCCCCATACTGGCTTTCTGCAGCGCATTAGTGGTTGTGGAGCAGAGGTGAGAAATGTGGGCTCGGCATCCTCAGAAGGAAAGCAGTGGATCGTGAGGGTCTCATTAGCATGAATGTCCATCTGTGTAGATCTCCCATGATTTAAGGCAGTTGCAGGGCTAGAAATGTCCTCATTCAGTGTGATCCATGCTTGGGGATGGGCAGTGCCATGCGATGCTCATGCCAGCAGTGCCTGCCACATGTGCTGAGATGCTGTGCCATGAGCACTGCGCTGTACACATGCTGGGAGCAAGTGCAGAGAGGAAGAGCCTCAGAGGTGTGGCAGGGCATGCTGAGCAAAGTCAAAGGAAATTCTTGCCTTGTTACCCAAGAATAGTCAAGACTCAGCCCACACAACATATTTTGGGGGTTAGCAAAGGCATCTTGGGCTTCCTAACATCCTTAAACAAGAGATAGGCCTGTAGTGGGAGAACAGCAATAAATCAATAAGGTTTAGTGATGCTTTTGTTCCTTAGCAAGGCACTGTGAGGTGGGAAGGAGAGGCAGAGATGGCTGAAGGAATGATCCTCCCTAAATAAAGGTGGGACCATCCCCAGCTGACACTGGATGCAGCTCTTCCTTGTATTAAAAATCCTGTGCATAGTCCTGCTCCTGCTGCAGAAATTTCTGTCCAAGTTCATCAGCCAACAGAGGCATCAGCCCCCAGCCATCGCTCACAGCAGCGAGCGGGGGAGTGGGAGAGGAGGTGGAGGAGAAAGCTCAGCTGTTGTCAGATTTGGGATGCAGGAGAAATGGGAGCGGGCTGCTCTGGAGAAGCTGTGAAGTCACGAGATGGAGAATCAGGAGACAAATCCTGGTCCTGGCACAGTTGTGGCCCTGCAGCGTAGCCTTGGCCGTGCTGTTTGACCTCGCTGCTCTGGCCCTCCTTCTTGTGTCGGGTCTGTAAGAGCACAGCTCCCCAGGCCATCAGAGCCTGGGGTGCACTCTGCACAGCCCTGCTGCTGCTCAGGGATGTCGGGAGGCCCCCGTTTATCCCATCACCTCATGCAACACTGTAAAAGCATGAGGCTAGAGATGCTCACACCAGCTTTCAGTGGTGCCTGGCCCCAGCCAGCTATGGGATGCTGTCCTTTCACCAGCACAACAGTGGGCTGGGAAACACGACAGCCCTGGAGCTGGCTCAGCTCTCCCTCCTCTCGCCTGCAAACACCGCTTGCCGCTCTCAGTGTCCGGAGGAGGAGTGGCTGCCGGGTACATTCCTGTGGCTATGCGTGCAGAGTGACAGCCAGGCTGATGTGATTACAGAGAAGAGTTAAGGACAGACTGTGGCTTCGTCACCTGTCGGGGACAGTTGCCTGTATCTGTGTCTTGTTTGGACTCAAAGTCCTTCCAGACATTCACAGTCCGGTGATGTCCAGCTCCTGGGCTCGCTGGGCAGCTGCGTGGAGGCGAGCAGAGCCACGTCGTGCAGGCTGGTGGGGAGCCGTCCTCCCCCGTGGCACTCTGAGGAGCCCCAACAAGGCCCCTGGGACCTGAGCCCACGGGAGAGCACAGCCACCCCACAGGCTGAGGGGCTGAGTGTGGGTGTGGGGCTGCATCACCCAGGCAGCCCAGCCTCCCTGCGAGCCAGCTGACCTCCTGTCTCCTCTCCCAGCCAAATTCCTCTTTTAGAATAATAAACAGTGCAACTCAGGAGAAAAGCTCCCTGCCCTGCTGGGCCAGGGACAGCTTGCCCTCACATCACAGTGATGGAGAAGGGCAGAGGGAAGGCCTGTACCCGTGCTGGCGGGGAGGAGAGGATGGTGGGGGGTATAATGTGGAGATGGAGAGCTGGGACTTCACTTCAGTGCCTGCCGTGGAGGTGCAGAGCTGAGTGAAGGGCGCTGGACATGGCACTGCTGCAGGACCTCCCTGGCCTTCAGGCATGTGCCAGGATGGCTGGAGGCAAATGGTCCCATGGCTTGAAAATACTCGGGTCCTGGCCCACAGGAGGGATGTAGGAATCTGAGGGGTCCGTGGCACCCTGCTCAAACATAGGGCTGAGAGAAGACAATCCAAAGCAGCTGAGCACCCTGTAGGTGCCTGTGTTTGGATCCTTGGGTGGGACAACACCTGGGTATCTGCTTTTGGATCACTGAGTGGGGCTGCACCCACCTCAGCTCTTCCTTGTCTGGCACTCATAGGGTGCATCTTACTGCTCCTGCTGAGAACAAAAGCTGAGATTGAGGAGGGAAACAACAAGTGCTCTCAAGGCCGGCAGTGAGCTGGGTGCATTTGCATCCCTTGTGAAATGCCTGTGTGCACCCACATGTGTGCTTGCACATGTCCTTGTGACAGGGAGAGGAAGGTTTGTCCTTCTGCTGTCCAGACTCTGCATGCATGCTGTGGGATGGGCAGAGCTCAGCACCTCCAAGTGTGCCTCTCACCCAGCCAGAACAGACAAACAAGGGAGAGGTCACCACTCTTCGTGAAACATTGCCACCCTCCCACTCTGCTTGGGAAGCATCTCCAAGAGAAATGCCTTTCTGCAAAACCAGCAGATTTATTAAAACCAGCTATGAACACAGGGGAGGCAGCCAGAGGCGGCAGGCGGAGGCTGCAGGGCTCTCACTGCTTGCTGAAGCAACACCCCTGCTAGCCCAGCAACACCCTTGCTAGCCCGGCACCCGCATGCACCTGTGTCCAGCTCCTCGGCTCCAGCAGAGCAGTGGTTTGGCCCATTAGTGATCCTGCAGAGATCACTGGTGGAGTGAGGGACCTGTCTGTGTGGGTAGAAGAAGCCAAGATCTCACCTGCAACAGGACTAACAGTGACAGCTATGAAGCTGAACAGGCAGCTAAAAGCGGGTGGTAAATACAGCCTGGCTTGTGCATGCAGTCAGGGAGGGGTGAAAAGAGAGGATCTCAGTTGTCCTTACAACCCTGAGCATTGAATAATGGATGAATCATACACCTCTGTAAAGGAGAATTGGGAAACCAAGCTAACTGTTCTCACGGCAGTGCCTTGGGGGGCAGCAAGATTAGGTTGTCCATCCTTCTCCTCTCTCCTGCAGTGGTGCCCTCTGAGGGTGAGTGCAGTGATGTCACATTCGTTTACAGCCTGAATTTCACCTCAGTCCTTTCATCCTACCCACCCCCAGCTCTTCCCCAAAAATGCTCTCATCCCCTCTGGCAAATGCAGAAGAGAGAAGGAGTCACGGAGGGGATTTCTGGAGGGGGGAGAGGGAAGCTGCTGAATAAGCTGGAGACCTGGAAGGCTTTGCTGGTAGATCAGACTTATGTTGAGCCAAGGCAAGAGAATAATAAAAACATCTGACAAGCTCACATCATTTAAAAACCATTTCCTCCTTAACATCAAGCAGGCCAGGAGGCCACTCTAGGGCCAAAGAGGCAGCATTGCTGCTTAGCAAGAGATGGTGCCTGGGGCCAGGTCAGCAAGTCCAGATCGCCACTAGCCATCCTCATTCCTGGCGAGCAGCTTCCCAGAGCACTGTGTCAGCATCACGGGTGCTCCTCCTCGGGGCCTGCCTTGGGAGCAGGTTCAAAATGCCTCTTGTGCTGGGAGAGGGGAGGTGGCCCAGCAGCAGGGCAGGAGCTCAGCCCTGGATTACGGTGTGGCTGAGCCATGAAGTTCAGCTCCATGCAGGAGCATCTCCCAAGTTCAAGACTACTGAATTCATTTCACCCCAGCTTTGTCCAGGCACAGAGGAAGCCCTTCCCTTTACTATTTCCTTCCCTTTTTTAGCGTCTTCATTTTGCTTTTCGGAAATATTCATCCCTGTCCCTGCAGGCACAATGGGAAGAGTTACCTGTCATCCCATTACATGGGAGACAGACCCCACTGCTCTTAGGGAACTCTGGCCTCATCTCCTCTGGGCTCTCAGTTTGCACCAGGAAGGGCTGAAAATGCTCTGTGGAAAAGATTTTTTGAGAAATGTTGATACAAGGGATTTTAAAGTAAAAAAATCCTCAAATATTCCCTTAAAATACATATATTTAGAAGTTAAATACAAGAAACTAATTTTTTGTGGGATTTCTTTGGGCTTCTTTTATTTAATTGGAAGGAGAAAATGTGGGAGGGTTGGAGGGGGATCTGTTTTCTAACAAGTTTTATCTCATTGGGACTGAGGGAAGCAAAAACTAAGGGAAAAAAGGCAAGCGGTAGAGCAGAGGGAGGGGGAAAGGCAGGACTCTGCGGCGGGGGGAGCAGCATTTTGAGCAGAGATGAGCAAGAGCTGACACAACTGTTGGAACCTCCAGCAAAATCCCTGTTTACCAGCGGGAGATGCCTTAGAAACAGCTCCTTCTGCAGATCTGGCATGAGGGGGAACCAATCACCCAGCCAGGAGGGAAAGGCTGTAAACTGGAAAGAGATGGGAAGTTTCTGAGGTGGAGAAGGGAGCCTGGGGCTTGGGTGGGGGCTCAAGGACCCCCCTGCGCAGGGTGGCTGAGGGACTCCTCCGCTGACAGCAGTGCTGCGCTCATCCTGCTTTGCTCTTGGCAGGGTTTGGCCACCGAGCCACGGAGCTCGCCATGCTGCACCCCTCTCTGAAGACAATTCTCTGGCTCCTCATCCTCACTGGTGAGTGCTGTGGTTGGGGAGGTGTGTGCAGGATTGGGCCCTGTGCTGGGGATGCTGCCCTGGGATGCTAACTCCAGGGCAAGGGGGAGGAAAGGGGCAATGCTGTGGGGAGACGCAAGGGTGCACAGCACGCTCCAGGCACATCTGTCCCTCCTAATGGCTCGGGTCCGTGGGCTCATGCTGACCCAGTCCTATGGCGGGGTGGATGTAAAGTCCCTGTGTGTCCCTGGGGGTGGTCCCCAGCTTCCCTGCCCACCCGTGGGGACACTAGGGAGGAGCACATGTCCCCATGCCACTGGGACATCTGGGAAAAGGTTAAAGCAAAGAAGCTGGGAGAGACACAGGGAGCCATTCAGGAAGACCTTACCTGCTCTATTGCTTCCAAAGGATTTCCTGCAAGGTTTTGCTTTCATTCCTTTTTCATTTTCTTATAAACTGACATTGTTTCAGCCTAGTCTGTGTCCTGTCTGACACTGTCCCTGTGGAGAGGCAGCTGGCAGAACAGGGTATTGCCTCATCTCCTCTCTCCCTTGCCCACTAAATGCATGGCCTTTCCAAGCTTTTGAAGGTGCATCTGAGACCTACCTCGGCCTTTACAGAGACAGGCTCATTTTGAGGTCAGCAGTACTATACTATACTGTACTATACTGTCAGCTCCCTGGACTGTCTGAAACAGCTCATAGTATGCATAAAAGCCAAGAATGTGAGCAAACGTGGGTGAGGCCGAGGTCACTCCCATTTCCAGCCCTGTCCTCACTATGGATGCCCCTTGGGCTGGTGTAACAGCATCACAGCATGGCTGCCTCCCAGCATAGATTCAGCGACTGCCCCAACTCCCTCCCGTGCCAGACTTGTGCTCCTCACCACCCAGTGACACTCTGCAGCACTGGGTAGCACTGAGGCTGCAGTTAACTCGCAGAAAGGTTGGGCAGGGGCAGATGTAGTTAAAGCATAAAATGAGGGGTTCTCCACCCAGCATTGCCACAGACAACATGGGCAACTTTGAACATTGCTAAACCCTGTGGTGTCTTATTTTCTCTCCAGTAAGGGTTTCAGGAGGTACAGGGAATGAAGGGTGACCCACCAGGGTCTAGGTTGACAGAATATTTCTGAGGAGTGCACATATTTGTCAGTGGTGGCCATGCCAAGGAGGACAAATCCACGAAGGTTATTTTTCAGTGTAAAGGCTGACACTACAAACCAAATACTCTGGCATGAGGTTGTGCTCCAGCTTGCTTCTCCTTGGATTTCAGAAAAATACAATTTGGTCTCATCTCTCTCCTCTCCCAGGTATGCTGGTGGTAACATCTGGGGGCAGCGGGCTGCGCATCGAACCTGGAGACGCTGAGCTTGTCCTCGGCCTCCACAGCACCTTCTCCCTCTTGTGCTATGGAGATGGCATGCTGGTTTGGGAACGGGAGGGTCAGCCCCTCACTGCCTCACTGGAGCACAGGGATGGTGTCTTCGTCAGCAATCTCACCCTCAGGAACGTAACAGGCCGTCACACTGGGGAGTACGTGTGCACCTACAGCCCTGACCAGGCTCCAGACACAGCAGAGAGGAAAGCCCTGTACATCTATGTTCCAGGTAGGGGACAGCATGTCCTTGTCTCTGCATTTCCACAGGGTTTAGCAACCAGAAGAAAGAGGGTTTTGAATTATCATTCTGTCTCCAAGCACCTGGCCTCCCAGAATCCTCTTCCCATTGCAGGAGAGACCTCATGACAGGTCATCTGGCTGTGGCATGTCTCTGCTATGCCAGGTCATGGGAGAGGCCCATGTGTGGTGTGTTGGGACAAGTGGTGGGACAGGCAATGGTGCTAGGCAGCAGGGTCTGGGTCTCTCTCACCCTCCCGTGAGAGGTTTGGCAAACTGACATGGCAGCTCTGCTTTGCTATGGAGAGTAAGGGAAGAAGCATCCCACTGGTCTGGAGAAAAAGCCCTGTGTTGGAGCGGTCCTGGTGGAGCACAGAGCAACCCTAGCTCAGCTTCAAGCAGCTTTCTGTAACCAGTGTTTCCTCTCTCTCACAGATCCCTCCCTGGTCTTCCTCCCAACAATCACCTCTGAAGAGCTCTTCATCTTCATCACGGGCTACACAGAAGCCGTCATCCCATGCCGTGTGACGAACCCACAGATGCAGGTGACCCTCTATGAGAAAAAGGTGGAGAACCCCATCCCAGCTTCTTATGACCCACAACAGGGATTCAAAGGCTTCTTTGAGGATAAGACCTATTTCTGTCGGACGTTTGTGGATGACCAGGAGGTGGATTCAGACACCTTCTACGTCTACAGGATCCAGGGTGAGCTGCCATTGCCTGAGCATACCTGTGCACCTGCCATAGCTGTTCCTTCAGCCCAATGGCAGGGGACAGCAAAGCTCTCCCCATCTCCTTAGCAATGTCCCTGATCAATCTAGAGGCTGCATTTAGTCCTGCCTCCGTTAGAGAATGGGTTCTGCCAAAGTGTCAGCTCCATCCCTCAGGGAAGAGACTTTCCAGTGGAACAGTCCACCCAGGATAAACGGACCAGGTGCCCACTCAGCCCTTCCTTCATTATTCATTCCTTTCTTTCACCTTTCCCACAGTCTCATCTGTGAATGTCTCCATCAGCGCAGTGCAGACCATAGTGCGTCAGGGAGAAAATGTTACCCTGATGTGCACCGTGAGCGGCAATGAGCTAGTCAACTTCAACTGGGATTATCCCCGCAAGCAGGTGAGTGCTCCAATCCCAAAGGCTCCAGGCAGCAGCTCTAACCTTTACCCAGCTGTCCCACGGCAATCACTTGTTAGTATTCTAGGTGAAGCTTCATAGGAAGCTTCACCCCATGGCAGAAGCTGTGGGATGTTGCTGCTGTCACACAGAGAGGCTTGGATTAAGGCTGTCTGTCTCAGTGGCCTCTGATCAGCGCATGTTCCCTGTCCCTGTGGCAGCCAGACTCAGGTCCTCTATCCTCTCCTTCTCCCTCTCTGTGAGCCTGGTTTTGTAGCTCCAGTGGCAGAACATGCTCTTGACTTCTCAGACCGCATCTCCTGTCCCTGTTGTGCAGGCGGGGAAGGTTGTGGAGCCAGTGACTGACTTCCTGCCCGGATCCACCCACGAGATCCGCTCCATCCTCATCATCCAGAATGCAGAGCTGGAGGACAGTGGGACCTACATTTGCAACGTCTCCGAGGGATACCATGAGAAAACGGACAGGAAAGACATCACAGTCCATGTGATCGGTGTGTTGCTGCCCACACACCCAAAGCCAGCAAACCACGTGGGCATCCAGGCAGGATGCCCCAGAGTGATGCCCTCTTCTCTCTGCACAGCCTCCAGCTCTCTCCACTCTCTCACCTCTGCCCTAAGTAACCATGGCCTAAAGCCAACCCTCACCCCATGTCACCTCTGCCCACTTCTTGGCTTCAAAACACCCCAAATCTCCCACCATGCATTTTGTGACCCTTTAATACACTTGAGGGTAGGGGTAGGAGCTCTTCTGCACTGTGCAGTGCCAAGGCAATGTGAATTCATATTGTCACCTCCTACCTGCATCTGTTCTTTGAGGGAACCTGCCCCATCTCCCCAAGATAACAACCTTTTCCCCACATGCCACCTGCTCCATGAGCTCCTCTGCTCCAGTGCAGCTCTGCACCCACACTCTCCTTGGACACAAGTCTGAAGCCTTGAGGGATGAATCTGGAACTGCCCCACCACTTCTGGGTGTTCAGAGTGGTTTGGTCCAGATCCATGTTTGTCCAGAAGGCTGGAGAGGGTGTTGTTTCTCTATCTGACCCCCCTATCCCTCCTGTCCCCTCTCAGAGCATGGCTTTGTGCACTTCCACACCCACCTGCCCAGCACAGTGTATGCCGAGGTCCACAAGAGCCGCACCATCCAGGTGGAGGTGGAGGCGTATCCACAACCCAACATTGTGTGGCTGAAGAACAACAAGACATTGACCATGGAGAGCAGCAGCGAGTTCACCATCACCAGCAGGAACCTGTCAGAAACCAGGTGAGGGCCCATCATTCCTCACCAGGGTGTGGGGAGGGGATAATTCACTAAACAACGTCCCAAACTGTTGGCTGGACACGGTTAGTGGTTGAATGCTTTTCTGTGAGTGGATTTCGAGCCTGTCTCAGATGGGTGGGAACTTGCTGCCTCTGAGCATTGTCAGTCTCCAGGTACTTTTCCACATCCATCACTCTGGGACCGTGTCTCTTCCAGGTACCAGACGGCTCTGGTGCTGGTGAGGGTGAAGCAGGAGGAAGGAGGATTTTACACCATCCGGGCTTCCAATGAGGATGATGAGCAGGAGCTGTCCTTCCATCTGCAGATAAATGGTGAGGATGGGCATGCAGACATGGGGCGGAGGAATGTGGGGGCAGTCTCATGGGATGGCTCCATCCTTTGCTGCAGCCCTTATGCCTCTGACTACAGCTCCAGAGAGGTTTTGTTTAAAGGAAGAGCATTCAAGCAAGAGACATGCTCATTTGAAATATCTCACACTTGGTCTCAGAGCAAGGGGAACAGGGGGAGAGTGCAGATGCCAGCAGGTTGGCCTTCATACCCTGGTCCAAGGTAGCAGATGCAGATGATTGTGCAGGTCTGATGTCCAGGACTTTCCCCCATGTTCGCCTGTGCTCTCCAAGCAAGCAAGATGGGGGCAGGTCTCCTCCATAACTCCCTCAGAACTTTCTCTTTTTGCTGTTAGCTTTCAAAAATAAAACATGACTGATGTGATGAGTCCTATCTCACTGTCTCATCACCCCCAGGCCATGTTAGGGGTACAATGAAATAACATTCCCCTTCCATCCTGCTCTCAGAAAGGAGCATTATTTCCCATCCCTGTCTCTTGTTTTCAGTGCCAGCCAAAGTAGTGGATCTCAAGGAAAACAGCAGTGCCAGCAGTGGGGAGCAGACTGTAACATGCTCTGCTGAAGGCATGCCCCAGCCAGAGATCAGCTGGTCTACTTGCAGCGACATCAAATGGTAAGCAGAGTGATGGAGCCCATGAGAATGGCTGAACTCTTGTATTTATTAGAATAAAAAACTATTGTTTTATTGTATTCTTCTGGCCCACATGCCTGGGAATCCCATGGTGGTGTATGGTCCCAGCTGTCACTCAGGTGCCTTTATTCTCTCCTGGATCAGGTGCAGCACCAAGGGGCAGCCCACCCGCCTGCTGGGGAATGAGTCCGCAGAGATCGGTCTGCAGACCAACACCACGTACCACACAGAGCTGCAGGTGTACCGCGTGAACAGCACCCTGCATCTGCACAGGGTGGACGAGCCCCTGCTCCTGAGATGCACCGTGAAAAACTTCCTGGGCACCAACTCCCAGGACATCACTCTGGTCCCACATGGTGAGAGCTGAGGGGAGTGTTTGAGCCAGCGGCAGGGCTAGGCTTTTCGCTCTGTGTCCTCAGCCTGGAGGTGCTGGGAGACAGGACTGTCCTTTGATGACTGCAGTCCTCAGAATCAGAAAACCTGGGTAGTTCTGCCCAGTTCTACCCCCTCCTTTGGGTTGAGCAGGAAAGGCTGTTCTAGGAGTCTGAAGCTCTTATGTCCACTGGCCATGGACGTCCTCTTTCCACCACTGGCAGGATCATCCCTCCAGGGAGGCAAGATGAGAGTGCCTGAGCAGGTCCCTGGTGTCTTGTTATTAGCCCGTGGGTCACTAGATGGTGCCACGGACTAGAACACCCATGTGCTGAACATCCCAAATATGAGGACTAATGGTATAAGCCCAGGCCTGGAACTACCAGCTATCCCTCAAGCAAAGCAGCCCCTCTAGCTCCTTACACCCTCCCATGGTCAAACCTCTCCCAAGGCAGCAAGCCCTTCAACAGGCTGTAACAACTCATCACCCCACTATCCCTGGGGTGCTGGCCCTGCAAGTGCTGGGCAGGTCTGCCCAGGAGGAGAGAAAAGGGCCTGCCCCCACCCAGAGGAGAGCTCAGGGTCCATGTCTGGGGGTAAGAGTGTAGGAGTGTGACTGTGGCTAGAGGAGGGAAGGGGAAGGGTCCAGGGACACCTTTGGGCTGCTGTCCCCTCCTTTCACCAGCGTACTCAGGCCATGCAGAGGTGAAAGATTCTGACTGCTGTCCCCGTTGTCATTGCAGCCTTGCCGTTCAAGGTGGTCATCATCTCTGTCATTCTGGCCTTGCTGGTTCTCACCGTCATCTCCCTGATCATCTTGATCGTCCTGTGGCAGAAGGTAAGAGAAGAGTGTCCCCAGGCTGCCACAGTGGTACCCCTATGTTAGGGTGGCTGGGAAGAGCAAGGCGGTGAGCTCCTGCTGGCATGGGCTTGATGATGTCCCACCCGTCAAGGGCCATGGGCCTCCATCAGTCTCTGAATGTGTCTGGCATCTGTAGGTTAGACAGGGAATGAGGCAATGGCTGCAGGGACAAAAGACTCCCTAACAAAGCCCATCCACATCCCCTACTGCCCTCTCTGACCCTCAGCCTCTCAGATCTCTCTTTTCCCTTTGCTCCCCTTTCCAGAAACCTCGTTATGAAATCCGCTGGAAGGTGATTGAGTCGGTCAGCTCTGATGGGCACGAGTACATCTACGTGGATCCCATGCAGCTCCCTTATGACTCCAGCTGGGAGGTGCCCAGGGACAAGCTGGTGTTAGGTAAAGGCTCTGCAGGTCCCACTGATGGACTTCTGGAGTCCTGTATGTCTGTAGGTGATAGGTTTGGGATCTCCAAAAGAGACCAACCCAGAGAAGATCCCTGGAGATATGATGTGGTCCTGGGACAGGAGGACCATCTGGGACCACAGTGGGAGGCCATCTGTCCCTTTGGCAAGGGTTATTCCTGGCTATCCTTTCTTACAGCTGGCAGCTCCTTCTCCTCCCAGATAGATGGAAACCAGCCCCAACCACAACATCATAGCTCACAACCACCTCCATGTCCACCAGCATGACTGCAGAAAGACTGCTGTGGTTTCAGACAGGGGATTTGTTTTTCCCAAGCTCCTCTCTTCACCTCTCCTTGAGGATCATTGCCAACTTTGTCACTCTGCTGTTTCTTTGCAGGACGCACTCTTGGCTCTGGTGCCTTTGGACGCGTGGTGGAGGCAACAGCCCATGGCCTGAGCCATTCCCAATCCACCATGAAAGTGGCAGTCAAAATGCTCAAATGTGAGTTGCCCCAACACCATCCCTTTCTCCCATCCAAAACCTGCAAGGTCAAAGAGTGCCCATGCACTCCCTTCCTTGCCCTGTTGTTCACACTGGTTCACCCCAACAGCCACCGCCCGGAGCAGTGAGAAGCAAGCCCTCATGTCCGAGCTGAAGATCATGAGCCATCTGGGACCTCACCTCAACATCGTCAACTTGCTGGGGGCCTGCACCAAAGGAGGTAGCTGAGCCCCATGTGCCTTGTCTTCTCTACCTGCAGCCCTGGGCTGTGCTGAGGAGAACTGTCAGAGAGAACAATTTCCGTTTTCTGGTTCAGAATGATTCACCCTTCTCCTAGGAAAGTCTTGTGGGGCTCTGAAAGCCTTCCTTTCCAACCTGAAACTGAGAAGGCATGTTCTGTTAATCCCCACCTCCCTCCCCAAACACAAATTTCAAATTCCAAAAATGCTTGTTCCCAGAAAGATGGCTTTCCCTCTGGCTCTGCTGAGATGTCCTGCAATCTGGTATTGTCCCCGTGGGATGAAATTCTCTTCCCCAGGGAGAGATCAGGGCCAAGGCAGGGCTGACATGTGTGGTCTCTCCCTCCAGGGCCCATCTACATCATCACCGAGTACTGCCGCTATGGGGACCTGGTGGACTACCTGCACCGCAACAAACACACCTTTCTGCAGTCCTTCGGTGAGAAGGCGCGGCGAGAGGCAGAGGTGTACGGGAACACTGCCAAGGAGGACCACGTGCAGAGGTACCTGGACAGCAGCACTCACCTTCTCCCAGTGCCTACCCCATCCTAGCCCCCATCAATGAGGGAGACTGGTGCTGCCAGGAAGAATACATATATTTCCTCCAGCACAGTAAAATAAACACTGGCCCAGTGCTGGGACAGAGCTGGCTGCTCTGTTACCTTGTGAGACCAGCCCATGTGCCAACCAACCACCTCCAAACAGCTCCTGGCAGACGGGGAGTTAGCAGAGGCAATCTGTGTGTCCTGGAGTCTGAGTCTGCTAGCACACAAGCCAGCTGCTCCATGCCAGTTGGGAATCCTTAACTTTATTGGCATAACCATAGCTACACATTGAATACAGAGATGAAGGACTTCCCAGCATGTCTTAACATTCAGAGACCTCAGCTCTGTATTTTCAGGACAGGTTGCTTTGCTACTCAGCCTAAGGGAGAAGTGCTAGAAGGAGTACAGTTGCACAAGAGGTGCTACAAGAAAAGGGAAATGGTCCTTTGGTTGCCAGCTGTAAGAGATGCAGGCATATCAGCACAGAGAAATGGTCCCATGGGAAGTTAGAAAGCAGCATTTCCTTCCAGCATGCCAAAACAATAGTAAAATAGAGCAGTGTTAGTACATCAGCACAGCTGCCCCCTGCACTTTCTGCTTGAAGGAAGCTGAGATCCTCCTAAGCACTAAGTGCAGTCTCACAAGCCCATGGGGACGTGTCCCACAGCTCTGGCCGTGCAGCAGGTTTCCCTTGCCCAGCACCAGCATGTGAAAGGCCTCAAGGTGCTGCTTCCCACATGCATTTGTTGCTCACTCAAGGGATGGGTGCTCAAAGATGCAGATGTTTGCCGATCCAAACTGAGAAAATTTAACTGTGGACAGAGCGTTGTGCCCTGCTCACCCAGTTCAGCCTTCTCCAGGCCAGTCCTGGCCAGCCTGGGAGTGTGCACAGCCAAAGTGGAGGGGTTTGCCTGCCAACACTGGTTTGAGTCTCATGCTCTCCTGCCCTGTGGGTGCCTGTGAAGCTATGCAGCCCCGGCTCCCCTTCTTGCCCTCCCCGGTGCCAAGCTTGAGTGCTGAGCCAAGCTTGTGCTCTTCCAGGCAAGGTGAGCATAAGTTTCAGCCTGCGGGCAAGAACACCTGGACACCTGCAGAGGAATATGGCAGGGCTTTTTAAAGCTAGGCTGAGGTCACCTGAGCTGTTAGATGGTTGAAGGAGGTCTCCAGTGCTGTTTGCGCTTCTCTGCATGCATGATGCACGGTTTCTTTCCCTGCTGTGTGGGATTTTTTCAGTGCTGAGGCTGAGGGTTTAGGAATTGCAGTCCCACAAATCATTGTCCCAGTGCCCTGCATCTCCTCCTCTCCTCTGGATCTGAACAGCCTCTGTTTCCCCCCACAGTCATCTCTCCTTGTCTGTTGAGAGCGATGGGGGCTACATGGACATGAGCAAGGATGATTCCCTGGATTATGTGCCCATGTCTGACATGAAGGGCGAAGTCAAGTATGCTGACATTGAGTCTTCTAACTACGGCACCCCATACGAGCTGGACAGCTATTCCCCATCAGGTAACAGCTCAGACACGGCGGGAGGGAGAGGTGCCCTTCAGGTGCTGGATGCTTTTGTTGCAGAGATGGATGGTCCATATTGCAAAGGTGACCTCTGGGACAAGTCCAGCAGTGGTGGCAGATGTCCTCACAATGGGAGCTCCTGGCTATGTCACTTTGTTGCTGGAGGCAGAGCAATCCCCAGTGGGTCCTTCCACTGGTGGGCAGCCCACAAGTGTGCTGAGTAATGCCAACATCCATCTCTGCTTGCCCTCCAGCTCCTGAAAGAACAGACCGGGTGACGCTGATAAATGAGTCTCCACTCCTCAGCTACATGGACTTGGTGGGATTCAGCTTCCAGGTGGCCAATGGCATGGAATTCCTGGCTTCCAAAAATGTGCGTATGCCAGCTGGTCTGTAGAGCCTGCAGCAGTGGAGACCAACAATGCTCTGCTGTGTCCTGTGGTCAGCTTCCACTCACTGTCCCTTTGTCCATGCCAACCTCCTCATGGGAGAAGTGGCTGTGCAATTGAAGAGCTGCTGACCACTTCTCTTTGGAAACATAGCCCTGGGGATCAGCATGACTATATTTGCACGTGACAGCTAACCCTGGCTTAGATTGAGCTTCAGACCTCAAATTCCCTGACTCTGACCTCCTCCCAAGCTGTGTGCAGCACAGCTGTGGTGTTATATCATCCCTATTTACTGGGACAACTAAACAGTAACAACCTTCCTGTGCTAAAGCACAAGGCACACTGCAGCAGAGCTACTACTCTCCACAGACACCCCTATTGCGCCACATACTCTGAGCCCCCCAGGCCTCATCAAAAGTGCTTGTTTAGTGGAAATTAAGCCACAAAAGAGGACTAAGGTCTGGGATTTCTTAAGGTCTGGCTTAGCCCAGGGCAGGCAGTAACATAGTTGGACCTTGTGAAACATCACACATGGCAGGACTAAGAGAAGGGGTAGGCATGACATCAATGCCATGCAGAGAGAAATTCCTGGCTCTCTGACTCCAGCCATCCAGTCTGATCCCCAGAAGCACATGGTTAGTGGTCTTGCACGGAGCACAGAAGAGGAGGTCCCAGCTTCCTGCAGCTTCCCACAGTCCCATGTTACAGTGGTGTAGTGTCACCATGCTTAATAGTAGTGTCTGGCAGAGTCTTGAGCAAACCTTGGGGCTGTTCATATGGAAAACATCCAACATAGTGGCAAGCCAGGAGGCACGAGCTAGGCTGGTGTAACTGATATCTTCAGACTGCTGAGCTAGATTGTCCAAACGGGGATGCAGATACCCCTCCTTGCCAGCCCATCATCCCCCTTTTTTGCTCAGGTCCTGGCAATCCCCCCTCTGCTGGGTTGTTCAAATTGCCCTTGCCAGATTTGTATGCCTGTTTTTGTCACGGGAATAACAGTCCAGGCAAGCACCAAAAGTATGGTAGCTCTTCAGGTAGCTTTGAGTCATGGTTGTCCCTAGAGGTGGAGAAGATGTCTCAAATGATGTGAGGTGACTCCTGTCCCTGCAGCCCCAAAAATGGGCTAGTGCTGGAGCTGGGCTGCTTCCTCGGACTGCCTGGGGGCCCCTTGCAGTGACAGTGCCCTGCTTCCCCCCTGCAGTGTGTTCATCGTGACCTGGCTGCCAGGAACGTCCTCATCTGTGAGGGGAAGCTCGTGAAGATCTGTGACTTTGGCCTGGCAAGGGACATCATGAGGGATTCCAACTATATCTCCAAAGGCAGTGTGAGTACCAAGAGCCATGCAAGCCCCTTCTTCCTGGGTAACTGGGCCTGACACCCCCTACATGCTCCTCCTGTGAGTCACTGGTCCATCGTTGTGCCCAGTGGTGGTGACAAGGCAGGACTCCCAGGAGATGGTGTCAACAGCCAACCATCCTGCACCTGATGTCCTCTGCATGTGGAGGAGCGGAATTGCATGGCCATATCTCCAGGCTCTTACAGAAGAACCTGGGCAGCAGCTGCAAAACTAAGGATTGTCCCCTGTGCAGCCCATCACTGGCAGAAGTGCTGCATCCCTGCTCTGCACCACACTGAGTGCGGTCCTGAGCTGCAGACAGGAGGAGTGCAAGGTTAGGCAGCTTGGCAGTGCTGCACTGAGTCACTGGCCACCCTGGGACGAGGTTCACAGACTTATTCTCTAACCACTAGACCACAGGGTAAGAGGAAGTGTTTTCCTGCGAGCAGCTACTTTCCAGAAAGACATCTCCAATCTTTCGAGGCAGGAGAGGATAAGGATGTAACTGAGCTTCCCCAGAACCTCCCCTGTGACTTCAACAACAGCTCTGGGTCATTTGGGAACAAGCAACCCCAAGCAAAGTAGGCCATGTAATTCCCGGAGAAACTCAGGCTGGGGGAGCTGAGAGTGGAGCCAGGCCCCTTAAACCCCAATCTTTATCTACCCTATGACCTTCTTAACTTCTCTTGTGGCCTTTCTCCCATTTGCATGGGATGACAGACAGGCACTCAGTGCCTGGGCAGGGAGACCCTCCTGCAGAAGGGCTGGGGTTTTCTAAGTCCAGCCTTGGCATAGCTGCCTTTCCTTCCAAAACAGGAAATGAAACTGGGCTCCTTTGCAATCCTTCCTGGAGATTATTTTGGTATTAATTGTGTAAGCGAATTCCAGGAACAGCACAGCCAGTGCCGCATACAAGCTGGTCAAGTGATGCTCCTTTTGACGTATCACTCTGAGTAAGATCAGGAAAAAGGTGGATGTGTCCTTCAGCCTTTTTCTGGTCATCCCATAGCCCTCTCCAGCCTGCTATCGGTTTTCCAAAGTCCGATTAGGCCTGTACTCCCTTCAGTAGTGCAGTGGCCTTGTTGTGCAAGTCAGTGGACACCTCAAGAACTAGGGAACAGAGAAAGCACACCATGACAGCTCATCACAGTAGACAGTGATGGAAACAGATATAGCACACCCGCCCTTTCCTCCTGCCTGCTGGGTTCATCCTGCACAAGGAAAGTGGAAAATGGTCCCTCTAAGAAGTGGCCAACAGGAGATATCAGCAGATGTGTTGGGCTGACAGGCAGCTCCAAAGGGTCTCCTCTCCTTGTAAATTGGGTGTCAGGTTCTCTCCTGTTGCAACAGGTGATGTAGATGTGGCTGACTCTCTTCTTGTTCCATTTTTTCCCCTTAGACATTCTTGCCCCTTAAGTGGATGGCTCCAGAGAGCATCTTCAACAACCTCTACACCACCCTGAGTGATGTGTGGTCCTTTGGGATTCTTCTCTGGGAGATATTCACTCTAGGTAAGTGACCTGGAGATCATGGTGGTGTCTGTGGGTCTGATAACATGTTAGTAGAATCCCTTCCCAAAGACAATAGAAATCCATTTCTAATTCCCAAGTCCCAACCTACCAGTCAGATTAGCACTTCATTCCCTGTCTCCTTCTTCCTCATGCTGACGTTGTGATTTGGAAGTGAAATAGAACAGTAAAGGTAAAGCAAAAAGGAAACCTTGGTGTGAAATGCATGTTGGCATGGTGGTGGCAGGCAATCCACCAGCCTGATTTCCTGCTCTCCCGTTACACCCAGGGGGCACTCCGTACCCTGAGCTGCCTATGAACGAACAGTTCTACAACGCCATCAAGCGTGGCTATCGAATGTCCAAACCCACCCATGCCTCTGATGAAATGTAAGTGCTGTCCATATGCATTTGCCCTGGGCCTGCGCTACAAAAACTACAGATGCATTTCTGCCTCTTTTCCCCACCTGCTAACTCACCGGAGTGCTCTCTCTTCCCTCTTGTTAGCTATGATATCATGCAGAAGTGCTGGGAGGAGAAGTTTGAGATCAGACCATCCTTCTCACAGCTGGTGGTGCTTATGGGAAATCTCTTGGTGGATTGCTACAGAAAGGTATGTTTAAAGGACCCTGTGCTGAAGGGACAGGAGAGGGTTGGTGCTCTGTGGAGGATTCTGCCTTGGTTAGGGCCCTCAATCAGGGTTTGGAGACCAGTGTTTAGTGCTGATGTGCCAGAAGATTTTGCTGTGCCTAAGGCTGCATTAGTTTGAACAGCCAGTGAAGGTGGTTTGGGCATCCTGGGGACTTTGCTGAGACAACTGGCATCGCCAGACAGGCAGCTGGTGTCTCAGCAACTGTGGAAATCAGAACTGGCAGGAAATCAAAACCTGCCTCCAACTGTTTGGTATTTTGGAGCTGTGGAGTTGTGCTCCTGATCTCTCCCTTAAGGAAATGTTAATGATCTGTCTTCGGTGGAGTCAAGGTAGCTGAACCCAGCTAGAAGATGCCAGCCCCTCTAGAAAAAGTCTAGCAGACAGGGAAAGCAAATAAATCACAAGTGCATTTTCCACACTCATAAGACCTTCCCGTTTCTTTGGTAACCTGCCGTGAGAGCAGAGGTACCAGCAGGTGGATGAAGAGTTCATGAAGAGTGACCACCCTGCTGTTGTCCGCACAAGACCCACAATCCCTGGGATGAACAACGCCAGGCTCACTGCCAGCTCCCCCACTGGAAGCATCCTCTACACAGCTGTGCACCAGAACGGGGGTGAGAATGATTATATCATTCCTCTTCCCGACCCCAAGCCTGAGACAATCTGCGATCTCCCTCAGGAGGCCTCCATCAGTCGGGCCAGGTAAAAACATTGCTTCTGAATGTTGTTCCTTCTCCTCACTGCCCAAATCTGAAAGCAGGGGCCTCGAGAGGAGATGGAGATGCTCTGCTGAGGAATAGGCCAGGGGAGGGTTTACCAGGAGAGAAGGACAGTGTCACCCCGCTCTGAGGTGCTGTGACCTTGTATAAGCCTGCAGAGATGCAGATGAACCAGAGAAGCTGGGACATGAGCTAAGATAGGGTACCATGTCACATCCCTGTACATCAGCCAGCACAGCTGGGGACAAGTGGCCCCGCTCACAAGGAGGAGGGCACACGGGCCCATGGTCTGCAGAACCCAGCCACATGTAAGCTGTGTTTGGCAGCTGAATAGAACCAACTGATATTGTCTGTTCCCCTGTGGAAAGCTGCTCAGATAGAGTGGGGCTGGTGGGAGCATGACATGCTTCTCAGCTGTTGGGAATCCTCTGCCTCTTTTTTGTGCAGCTAAAAGAGAAGTAGGTGTTTTGTCAGCCAATGTCCTTGGTAAAATGTGAACACAAGAAATAGCACTTTTATTGGCAGTTGGTGGACTTGGGACAAGGCATTCATTTTTCTCTCCCTCTTGTCTCCCCTTCAGCTCTGTGCTGAATGAGGCAAACACATCATCTACAATATCCTGTGACAGCCCTCTGGGCCTCCAGCAGGATGAGGAGCAGGAATCTGACCCACAGCCAGGCTGCCAGGAGCCAACCACAGGACACCAAGAAGTGGAAGAGAGTTTCCTGTAGTCAGAGCTGGGCTGACTCTGCATCTCCCTATGGAGAGGCCAGCTGAGGGGCTGACCCAGATGTCACAGAGAGCCATGCTTTGCGCTTGTACACTGGGACATACCCACCTGTCCCAGCATCCCTCCTCCCCTCCCGTCTCCCAGCGCTGGGTGAGGAATTAAAGACTTTTCCGCATTGCCATCCCCTTCCCCCTTACAAAGAGGTGGCTTAGTGCCAGAAACCTTCCAGATCACTGCCACATCCTCCTCAGTGATCAAACCACTGCAGGAGGGAGACATCTCACAGACCAACATCTTCTTTCAAGTGGAAGATGTGGGTTGGATCTCCACAAGAGATACCACTTTCTGCATTGCTAGGATGATACTCCAGCCTCTTCCTCCTCCATGGCAATGAGTTTCATCTCCTCTGCACCAGCACTTCTCTGATGGTCTCAGCACCAGACACACCGTGGTTCTGTGAAATGCCACTGGGATGGATGATTTCCTTGGAGTCCATTGCTGCAGTGTAGAGAACCTGAAACACCAACCTTCAGCTGCTGGAGATCAAGAGTACATTGGGTAGATTTTATTCCAAGCACAGCCAAGTCCTGGAGAGACCAACCAGTGTCTCAGAGATACTGAATCACCATTTTCCTTTCTTGACAGCTCTTCTACGGTGGATAGAGCGTCACAAGCACTACAGGTACCCATGGCTCTGGGGCACAGCTCTGCACCCATCTAGAGGGGCTGCCACACCCTGAACCCTGTTGTGCCCAGCATGGCACCAGGAGCCCCAAGGGCATGCCAGGAACTCAAAATGCTCTCACAGTGACTCTGTTGTAGTAACAAAGAGGGCAGTTCAGTGTTGTTCGTGTCGCCTGTGTGGACACTAAGCTAATTATCCTTCACTGAAGATTTAAAGGGAACAAATATATTAATCCACTAGCCAGGGCCAGTATAAGGAAGTAATATGGCTATTCATTAATCTACTGCCACTAAGCCTAGCTCATCTGCTGGGAAATCATATAACCCTGCCAGCTGCAAAGTCTTTGTGCCTTATCTTTGGGAAGCAAGGGCTCCCTTTTGATAGACTGTTCACCCAAACACCCTTTCTCAGGATGGGAGGTCTCACCGGTCCCTCCTGAGTCATAGCAAGACTATGGGGAGCAATAAGGATGCCAGAACACCGACCCAGGGACATCTCAAAAGAAAGAGAGGGAGAGGGACTGGGAAGCTGTTTGGTCACAGCTGAAGTGTATCTCACACCCTGCCACTTTCTGGGGGCCAGGTATCACCACATGCAGCCTGCCAGGGCTGTGGATGAAATGTCATGGGGAGTCAAGCAGAGCAAGAGGAATCGGAGAGGATTCCTCTCTCTTGGAAAGTATTTTGAAGAATAATAAAAGGACAGAGACCTTCCTCCTGCTTCTCACCTCCTTCCTCACTTCTCACAGGCAGGCCTGGAACTTCTTGTGCTCTCAGCTGGCACTTGAATGAGGAGACTCAAATCAGGAGGAACACCAGGCTTTTGAAATCAGTTGTGAGCCCCACCTCTGCAGAGATGAAAGCTGGACCCCAAAAACTACAGGTCTGACCCCATAGAAACTAGCAGGGTTTTTTTCTGAAAGTAGCGCTGTTGGCTGCATGCCCCCCCCAACATACTGGCAGTTT